CAGAGGTGTGAGTTCTAATCCTGCATCAGCCTCTGATTTCTTGGAGTGTTCTTAGGTGATTCCCTTACCTTCTGAGGCTTCGGTTTTCTTTTTTAGCTTTGGTTTACTTATCTCCAAAGTAAGATTAAATGAATTATGTGGTTATTTTGACCCTATGTGACAGAGTTCAACTGCCTCGTAGGGTTTTCTTGACTCTAATCTTTACGGAAATGATCACCAGGTCTTTCTTCTGTGGAGCTTTTAGTCTGATCCCCCAACCTTTCTGTTAGCAGTCCACTACTACTTGTGGCACCAGGTTTCCTAAATGAATGCTCTGTCATCATTGCCCATTGCCATCACTCACAGCAACAGTGGAGAGACAGATTCGAGCTGCCCACAGAGTTCCTAAGGCTGTGAATTTTTTTTTTTATTATTTTATATTAGTTTGCTTACAAAGTTTGTATATATTGTGTTTCATGCTATTTTTCTTTCACATCATGTTTCATATAATCATTCCCATTCATTATGTTTTATAATCACCATTGGACATGCCCATCATTACCCTGTCTTTTCTGGTCCCCACCAGATCTTACCCGTTTCCTTTAACCCCTCTCTCGCCACCCATCAAATTAGGCAACTCTTCGATTTCACCCCTACCCATCCTCACCCCTCTGCTCCCACCCTTTCCCCCCTTGAGTCCCTATACATATTTTATTTACATTTTTACAATAATGGTCTTATGCAGTATTTGTCCTTATGAGACTGAGTTAGTTCACTCAGCATAATGCTCTTCAGTCCCTCCCAAGTTATGTAGTTGTGTGGTTTTGTTGTTGGTTTTTTTTTTTTTAATTATTACTCCTGCATGCTGCATAGTAGTCCATTGTATGAATGTACCACAATTTCTCAATCCATTCAGTTGTGGTTAGATGTCAGGACTGTTTCCATGTTCTTGCGATGGTGAATAATGCTGCTATGAGCATTGGTGTACAAGTATCCGTTTGTCTCAGTTCTTATTTCCTTGGCATATATTCCTAATAGCAGAATAGCTGGAGTTTCTATGTTCAGTTTTCAAGGTGCAAATTCCTATAGAAGCAGACCACTTCCCCTTCCTCCTGCAGAATGGCCGGTGGGTTTGAACTGTGACGGATTGGTACAACCAAGCTCTTTAACCCCTGTGCCACCTTTTAAAGCTAATAATAGCTCCCTTCTTATCGGATGCTTTTCCTGGGCCATACGGAGCACTGATGATAGTCCTGGGAGGACAGCATCAGCGGCTTCTGGCCTCAGTAAACAAGCAGAGGCTCCGAGAGGTTGAGAGGTTTGACCAGAGCTGCAAGACTAGAAGAGGCACCATCACTGCATCAAAATCAGAGCCTGACCCGGGCCCTGAGCTGGTCACATGAGGAGCCTTTGGTCCGGGTGGGTGGCTGGCTTCTCAGGGTGGGGCACCCCTGCCAGCAGCACTTCGCCTCCCAGCTTTGTTTGGTTTGGCCTCGGTTTGGGGAAGGCTTGGCAGAGGCAGGCAGACTTACATTTCTGGTTTTGGGTCTGTTGCCGCACTTCCCCTGAGGAAAGGGTGAGCTTGCCTGCAGTCACCACGAGCCCAGACCTGGCTGCACCCCCACCACCCAGGAAAGAAGAAACTGGCTTCCTTTTCTGGGGGCCCCTGTGCGTTGCATCACTCTCATCTTTTCCTTCAGACCCTCAAAAGCAGGTGTGTGGGGTGACACAGATGGCAGTGGGGTGCTGGCAGTGGGACAGTTTGCTTTTCTAAGTGGAGAAGATTCTCTGGGGGGTGAAGTGAGAGCAGATTGCCTCATGGGGACTGAGAATAGAAGTTGACCTTGGTAAGAACCAGGAGCCACCTCAGCCTAGCCCCTGATTTGTGTGACATGTGGCTTTGGGCAAATCCTATCTGAGGCTCAGTCTTCCTGTCTGTTCAGTGGGGGAGTTTCTTTGGCCAGTTGAGAACAGCTTGATGAGGCTGAAGCCCAGCCCATAATTTTCAAATGAGGGTCCTGGGCTGAGGGCCTGGCGTCACAACTGCCAACGCTAATTTCAGAGTTTTTTGTCAGAGTTTACATGGTTATTGGGCTCTGCAGGAGAGGACCTTGACCTCAGCATTTCCCTCTGCATTCAAGTACATTTTATCACTACAACTTTCATCCCCTTCAAAAGCTTCGTGTCGGTTAAGGCCTAGAGGGTAGAGGGTTTGGTGACTGGTTTCACCTGGCCCGGTTCTAGAATTTGAGGTTAGCTCCTGCTTGTCTCTGGGTCTCAACTTCCGTGTCTCTGAAATGGGGATGAGAGATGACTCAGGCTATGCAGTCTCAGGGGTCCCTGCATGGAGTCATCCCTTAGCAGGCTGGAAGCTCTTGGGACCAGTGGGCACAGGGCTATGTCTGGGATGCCAGGGATGCCCTTTCTGACCCTGACTAGATCATTCTAGAGTTTCACGAGGCTTCCCTTGTTACTTCCTGCTAACCAGGCTTCACCTTTTACTTTTATGTTCCCTAATTGTCCCTCCAAGAGCTGGACAATGACTAAGGATGACAGAAGAAGAATTGATATCTTTGAATTAAGAGCCTTAAACATTCTGTGAACTGCCAAGAAAACAAATAGGTCTGTCTTGGAGAGGGTGAAACCAAGTTTCTCCTTGGAGGCTAGGATTTTGAAGCTCTGTCTCACATATACTTTGGGCACGTGGCCAGGAGTCCTTGAAGGAGATCCTTGAAGAAGGACATCATGCTCTGGAGGGTGGACGGACAGTGCAGGAAAGGAAGACTTCAGATGAGATGGATTGATACAGTAACCAAGGCAATAGGGGAATGTATGTCAGAGTCAGTGAGACTGGATCAGGACAGGGAGGCCTCAGAGCTGCTGTACATAGGGTGCTATGAGTTGCAGGTGACTGGATGGCACATAACAACAGCTGTCCCTCCTACCCACACTGTGATTTATATCGTCTTTGGTGTTCCCAAATGCCACAGTGTACCCTGACAGAAACCTTCAGCTGCCCAAGCCATGCCTGGATCACCTCCTTCTAGATATGAGTCTTGGCTGGAACTTCACTATCACAGGGTCTCTAAGGCTTCAAGGATTTTCTGGAAAGAACACAGGCATAGCCTTTCAGTCTCCAGGCAGCTGTGAAGCAACGGATGAGCCACTCCTCTTTGGGATCGGTTTTTTTCATCTGTCAAACGGGCATTAATGTTCTAATCTAGGTTTTGGTGCTAAAACTTTGTGTTACTTACTTTGGGCATCTTGCTAGGAGAGGCTATTCCTTGGAGAGGGACATCATGCTTGTAAAGGTGGAGGGTTGACAAAAGAGAGGAAGACCTTCAACCAGGTGGTTCGACACAATGACCACAGCAATGGGCGTGTGTTGGAGATGGTGAGGATGGCACAAGATCGGATAGGGGTCATTTTTTTTTTTATTAATTTTAATGAAAATTTACAGAGGCTTTGGATTTCCATTCATTCACTGTTGCACTTTTCTGTTGTTCTTAGGGGCACCATGGGTTGTGTTCCGTTTGATAGCACCTAACATCTTGGAAGTCTCCACCTGTGTGTGCATGCATCGGGATGTGTGTGTGTGTGTGTGTGTGTGTGCGTGCACATGCTTTCAAATATTTAGGCTTGTGCATGCCCATGTATACCCATATATCAACCTTCTGGTCTGTGTGAGGTTCTAGGTAGCCATGACCTTGAAGGACAAAACTATGCTCTAAACCTATTGTGTGTCCTTTTGTGTGCTAGTGTTGCACCCAGAGTTGGTTAGAAGGGGCTCATCTCCAGGCCTGAGTTCTCTGTTCCCATCTGACCACCACACCAAGGATACGCCTGTGCCCGAGCTTCACTGAGCCCTGCTCTTCCTGTGAGATGGCTGCGTCCAGACTTTCCTCACAGGGCTGCCTATCTCATTCTAAATGAAGTCAGCTGTAGGAACCCAGCGGAGATCCTGAGGGCTCCTTGGGTGGCCATACTGAAGCGTGCAAGGCAGAGATTACATTATAACTTGTGGGATTCCTGCAGTTCCCCCCTCAATCAGTGAGGGCATGTGACTATGGCATCTCTTTAGTCCAGCTGTAGGGAGGATTTTGAAGTTCTGCTTTTACTTTAGTTCACTAGTTTAATCTCTATTTATATGTAAGAATATAAATGCACATACATATTGGATGGATGGAGAAGGAGAGAGAGAGGGAAGGAGGATGGGAGAGAGAGACAGGAAGGGAGAGAGAGAGCCCATCCTTCTCCTATGGAGCAGCTGGTAGAGTCAAATCACCTGTTTCAGGGATTGCAGCACAGCTTCTTACCAGTAGGCCATCAGAGCTCCATATATGTATGTATTCTTTTGAGTTGGCAGTCCTCCATACATGGTAGGCCACCAGAGCTCCGTCTATATTCTTTGTCTGTGTCTGTGCGCGCACACACACACACACACACACACACACACACACACACACACACCCCTAAAGCCCACTTAAATATAACATGCTGAGCAAGTTCTTGTTTGAAGGACTCATTAGTTTGTTGTTGCTTTTGTTAAACTCTGTTAGGAGCTTTGGCTAAGTGCAAGATTCTGCCTCTTGGTACTGTTTGGGTTTGTGGTCTTGGCTTGGTTCTGGCTCGTAAAGGCAGAGGCAGCCTCAAGTCTCTTTTTCTCAAAAAGGTGACTTCACCCTCTGTTTCCTTCTCTGAAAATAAGGACAATGATACTTCCCATATAGGGCCATGGGGAGGATTATGTAAGAGGGATTTAAGTCGGTACAGCTCTGAGCACACAAGAGGAACAGGATGAATGGTAGTTATTTCTTCTTTACATGATCCACCCTGTTCTGAAGGAGCAGAAGGTGGTCTCTTCCTAGATCACCAAGCCAGAGCAGCTTTCGTCTGGCATTCCCAGCCCTCATTTTATGTTACTGTTGTGTTCCAGCTGCTGTGACATTGGTTTGTGCACAATGCATGATATACCTGACCTCTTCTTCTGAATCTTTCTTGTTTTCCTTTTTGTTGCCCAGATGTTTGAGGCAGAGGCTGATGAGAAGAAGGAGATGCCCTTGGAGGAAGGGAAGGGGCCAGGTGCCGAAGATCCATCGCCCGGCAAGGACCCCTCTCCTGGCCAAGAGCCTCCTCCTGGACAAGACCTTCCACCCAACACGGACTCCTCTTCTGCCCAGGAATCTTCTCTTGGTCAAGAATCACTGTCCAGCCCAAATTCATCTTCTTGCGAGGAACCCACTCTGGGCAAAGAACCCCCACCAAGCAAGGAATCCCCACCATGCCAGGATCCTGCAGCCCAAGACCTCTCACTCTGCCAGGACCTTCCCGCTAACCCTGAACCCCCTCCCAGCCAGGACCATCTGCTCAGCCAAGACCTCCCTGCCACCCGGAACCCCCCGGCCCAAGACCCTCTGCCTTGTCAAGACCTGCCACCCAACCAGGTAACTCAGCTTGCTGAAGCTGTTGTTGAGACGACCACCGGCTCCAAGGACTCTCCAGCAGCCACCGGAGACCCACCTGCAGTCACCAGGCCAGCCTTCGTGATCCCTGAGGTCCGGCTAGATAATGCCTACAGCCAGAAGGCCGGGGCAGAGGGGAAAAGCTCGGGAGATGAGGAAGATGCTGAGGAGGCCGAGGAGGGGGAGGAAGGCGAGGAGGGGGAGGAAGAGGAGGACGAGGACACGAGCGATGACAACTACGGAGAGCACAGTGAGGTCAAGCGCAGCAGCATGATCGAGACGGGCCAGGGCGCCGAGGGAGGCTTCTCTCTGCGCGTGCAGAACTCGCTGCGGCGCCGGACGCACAGCGAGGGCAGTCTGCTGCAGGAGGCCCGCGGGCCCTGCTTCGCCTCAGACACCACGCTGCACTGCTCGGATGGCGAGGGTGCCTCACCCACCTGGGCCATGCCTTCACCCCGCACCCTCAAGAAGGAACTGGGCCGCAATGGAGGCTCCATGCACCACCTGTCCCTCTTTTTCACGGGACACCGGAAGGTAAGACATTCCTGGTGAATAGAGTGGGAAAGCGATAGGTGGAGCAGGCCCAAGGGCTGTGAGGGACCAGGGGTCACCCCTCCCAATTTCTGCTCTCCTTCTCCCCATTTGACAGAGGATAAGACTGAGGCTTGGAGTGAAAAGGCAGAGCTTGGGCCTTAACTCATGACGTTATGACTCTAGATGCTGTGTTCTTACAGCTCCGTTGTTGGTCCCCACAGAAGGTAAAGCAGGTGAGGCCTAGCCCCAGGATACCAGATGTTTGTGTCTAAGAAGTGTGGCAGAGTCGTTGGAGAAATACAGAATTCAGACCCATTCCAGGCCTGGCCAGACCAGAAACCCACCAGTCCAAAACAACCACAATAACCTCAGAGACAACATACATCTTACCCTGTGCTAATGCCAATCTAAGCAGCTTCCATTACTTCATTAATCCTCACAGCAGCCCTATGGAGGAGATGCTATGGTATTCCCATTTTGCAGGTGAGGAAGCTGAGGCACGGAGAGGTGGTCTAATTTGCCACAGGTCATAACCATTTATATAGAAAGATGAACTCAAATTACAATCTGGCTCCAGGGTGAGAGCTCTTAACGGACATGCTAGCTGCCCTTTGCAAATATTTGTAAATAGATGAGTAAGTGTTTATTAACATCCTGCTGTGTGACAGACTCTGTGCTTGATACCCCAGCAGGGCCTGCAGAAATGTGTTGGGAATACATTGTCTGTGTGGGCTGGGAAGGCAGCTTAATGGGGGAAAGATTGTGCTCTCGCTGGGAAGCCCACCAGTCAACTTGAAACCAGGCTCCTCCCTGCTCTGTGGCCTTGGGTGAGTCACTCAGCTCCTCTGAGACTTGGTTTCCTTCTCTGGCAAGCAGAGGTATTGATGGTGCTAAGGGCTCAGACAGGCTGAGGATGAATCGCAACCACCTGGTATCCGAGGACGTTAGAGCATGCTGGAGGAGAATGCTGGCTCCCAGTTCTCTTGAAGTGCCAATAACGGTGCAAGACGCTGTGCTGAGACTAGGTGGGTGGAGGGGGGTGTCTGTGCCCCTGGAGTGCAGCTGACCCTCAGACATCTTAGGGCTTGGAGAGAAGGGCTCTGAGAAAGAGCCTTTGAACTTGGCCTTAGTATTGATTGGATTAGAATAACAAACAACAGGCAGGATGTTCTGTGAAAGTTGAAATGATGTAAACAAATCTTTCTGTCGAAGCTGGTCTGGTCAGAGCCGGGGATCCCTGCAGGGCAGGCACGACAGACACTTGGCACTTAGGCTGCCGTTCCATGCTCCAAGCCCATGGCAAACATTCCTCATGGATTCCAGGACACTCTCCCAGTGGACTGGGTGGGGCACAGCCTCAGGAGCCTTCTTAGCTTCTCAGTCACCAGCAATGAGGACGACTTGGCACTTGAGACCTCTGAACTTTAGACCCAGGGATTGGAACTCTATCCCGAAGGTCAGTGGGTCTCAAACCTCTGGAGTTTCCCAATCCAGATTCTCCCCAAGGGACTCTTTCATGTTTTGCCCTCCCTTTGTCCCAGTACAAACACTTGTACACAGATTCATGTGAACACTTCTACCCCTCAGCTCAGCTGAGCTCTTCGGCTTCTGGGAGTCTAACAGACCTGAGCCAGCTCGCACCTCTCACAGTCCTCCTTTGGGCTTAAGGTCCCCATTGGCATCTTCCTTCCTTCTACCCCTTTTTGGCGATTGCTTCCTTTCCTTGGCTTGGGACCTCAGCGGGCCCGCGATGGGCGTTGTGGGGCAGAGGTCTTGGCAGCGCAGAGAGGCAGGTTCCCTGTGTTCGTAGCTGGACCTGGCTTTCCTGGAGGGTCAGCTGATGTTGATGGGGCCCCTGTTCTCCCAGGAGAGCAGAGAAGGGGAGAGGAAAAGAGAATGAAGTCTTCAGGCTGTGGAGTCAGAGAGACTCATTTAGTCTCAGCTCTGCCCTCTTCTGGCACTGTTTCTCCCTGCCCTGATTTTCTTTCATAAATTGAGAACAAAGTCTTCATGGAGTGGTCTGACTTCTGGTGCCGAGCTGGGCGGTCCTACCATGCCCCCAGCTGCCAGGTCTCCACCTTGCCAGCTGCACCCAAGAGACCCAAAGACCCACATTTGCCATTTTCAGGGGGGCCAGAGAGCCTGGAGGATAAAACGTTGCATCTGGGCCCAGGACACTGATATTGAGTCCTACCCCAGCCTGGCCTCCCTTGGTCCTGGTCACTGGCTATTCTTTGATAGTGAAGAGATTGCAGGCTATGACCCTCCCTGGCCATGCTTCCTTCTCCCCTCCATCTGCAGAGGGCTGTGGTCCAGCAGGTGCTGTCAGCTGAGGGTACCAGTCCTGCTTCACTTCCATGCAGGCTGGAGGTCAGAGATGACCACTGAGAGGCCTTCCATCTCCAAGATGTGCTAGTGTATCTTCAGAAAAGGCCTAAATAGGACTCGTTTTCCACATCTAAACAAAAAGTCGTTGTGTTTGTTTAAAGCCAGTGTTTCTGCACGGTTCTATGTGTCTGCCAGACTGGAGTGCAGACCTGGTTAGAGAGTGGAGCGAGGATGGCTGGAAGGCAGATCAGGACCAAGGGGAAAACCAGGCGAGGCTCTGCTCACAGAAGGACCCTGATCCCCAGGGGGGCTGCAAGGGCGTAGACTCGGGAGCTGGGCCTGAAATCCTCTACTACTTGGCAGTTCTGAGATCCTGGGCAAGTTAACAGTCAGCTCAGAGCCTCAGTGTCTGCAGCTGTCACTCAAACTCAAACTCACTGCCAACTTGGTGGCAACTCATAGTGACCCTCCTTCAGTTTCCGAGGTTGTAAATGATAATGGGAGAAATTTGCACTTCTTTCTTCCTCCAAGCAACCAGTGGATTCAAACTGATGAAGACACATGACCTTTGGGTTAACAGCACAGCTCGCCACAGATTCTGCCACCAGAGTTCCCCTCTCAATGTCCACAGGATTAACATTTAGCTTTAGGTTTTGAAGATGAATTGAGAAAATGTATAATGGTATTATTTTGACTATCAAACACTCACTATACACTAAGCACTGTATTAAGTATTTTCACATACATTTTCTCAATTCATCTTCAAGTTGATTCCAACTCACAATGATCCTGTAGTACAGAGTAGAATTGTAAAGATTCCCAAGGGTGTAAATCTTTACAGAGGCAGATTGCCACAGCATTCTCCTGTTCAGCAGCTGCTGATGGGTTTGAACCACTGACCTTTCAGTCTAGGCCACTGAGCTCTTTAACTACCGCACCATCAGCTTAGATGGTAAGAAGAATCACAATAGCCAGTTTTATTGAGTTCTCTCGAGTGCCAGGCACCATGGTAGTCAGTTGACTTGCTCTTCACCTGGCCTTTTGAGGTATCCTCATTTTACAAACACAGAAACCTCGGTAGAACGGAAGGAGCTCTGGTGGCATAGTGGTTAAACACTTGCTAACCAGAAGGCTCGTGGTTCAAATTCACCAGCTTCTTTGAGGGAGAAAAGCTCTGCCAAGTAAAGATTACTGTTGTTGTAGGTGCCGTGAAGTGGGCTCTGACTCATGGTGACCCACAGCAGAATGAAACCCTGCCCCATCCTGTTCTGGGACATCGTTACAGTCTTCTCTGTGCTTAATTAAGACCACTGTTGTAGTCACTAGGTCATTTCATCTTGTGGAATGTCTTCCTCTTTTTGCTGACCCTCCATTTTTCTAAGAATGATGTCCTTCTTTTTCAGAAACTGGTCCCTTCTGATAACATAGCCAAAATAGATAAGAAAAAGTCTCATCATTCTTGCGTCCAAGGAGCACTCTGACTGCACTTCCTACAAGAAAATTTGTTTTCTCTCTTGGCAGTTCATGGCCTAGCCAATATTCTTTGCTAACACCACAGCTCAAAGGAATCAAATCTTCTTCAGTCTTCCTAGTCATTGTCCAACGTTTACATAAATAGGTAGTGGTTGAAAATGGCATGGCCTGAGGCAGGTACACCTTAGTCTTTAAAGTGGCATCCTTGCTCTTTAAACCTCTAAAGTGTCCCTTAGCAGCAGTTTTGCCTATTGCACAAGTTGTTTTATTTCTTGACTGTTGTACTTGAAATGAAATTCTGGATAACTTCACGGCTTTTTCTTCATTAACCATGATGTCATTTATTGGTCTAATTGTAATGATTTTTCTTTTTTTAAATTGAGGTGTAATCCATACTGAAGGCTATAGTATTTGAGGTTCATCATTAATCCATAAAGATTATAGGCTTGGAAATGCTGTAGGGCAGCTCCACTCTCCACTGTAGGGAAGTTACCTGCTAGAATCGACTTTAAGGAACACAACACGGCAGGCAGAGAGGGGAAGTAATTTGGCCAAAGTCAATTAGCTAATAATTGACTGAACTCGGATTCAAGTCCAGGAAGTGTAGAATCCACACTCTTAACCACTGCTATTATTATAGTTATAATTATAATTGCAATTATAGTTATTATTCCGAGGCAGCGCCTAGTCCCCGGAGGTAGTCTGGCAAGGCTGGGGCCGGCCCCAGGGATGCCTGCCATGGTAAAGAAAGGGCTGGGTGAGGCTGTGCTCACTGCCAATGCCTTTCAACAGGGCACGGTCACTTGGGAGGCAATGACGGACTTTGCTAATGATGCAGGAGGGAGGAGATTGAGAGACCCCTCTGGCTTCTTCTAAGACCGAAGTCTGGAGTTTCTGTGGTGAATTGGGCATCTCTGGGGCTGAGAATCAGAACCTGTCTTTACATTTCAGCTTCTTCTCCTCTGGGCCCACATGATGTCACTGGGTACCTGGCTTTCCTCTGCTGCCTATGGGTCTGAGTTGAGCTGTACAGATGGAATTATCAGGCCAGCTTGATAGGAGCCTGTCCCAGAAAAGACAGTCCCTCCCAGTGGAAGGAAGAGTCCATTTCCCAGCAGCTCAGAGACTGGGGTGGCGGGCAGGGCGGGCAGGGTCCCGGGCCCATTGTGTGCAGTCCATAAAGTACGGAAGCTGAGGTTAGAATGGGAGGAAGCCCAGCGGCCCACAGGCCTGTTCCCACGGGTGGGGGCTCCAGTCCTGCCCAGCCAGGTCAGTGTGATCACAGCCTGTGTGTTAAAGGGTGATGGCAGAGACATTCACTAGGTAACACTGGCAGCCCCTGATTACCGAGGCCGAGAGACCTCTGTTCAGGATGCGACCACAGTCCCAGACATTAACTGATGAATTTTCCAACCTGTGGTATAGCAAAACCCCCTGAGGCTACGAGGCTAGGAAGCTATCCAGCGTCTATGGTGGTGGTTGTTAGTGCCCTCAAGTCAAGTATGGCTCATAGTGGCCCTATGAACAGCAGATTTTAATCCTAGACTCGCCTGTGCTGTCCTCAACATCTCTGATGCACTGTGCCCTTTGCTGCAGTCACTGTGTAAATCTGTCTAGTTCAGGGTCTCCCTCTCTTTCACTGACCCTCGACCCTTCGTAGCAGGATGTCCCTTTCCAAGAAATAGCCTCTTCTAGCAACATGTCCAAAGTATGAGAGACAAAGCTTTGCCATCCTTGCCTCCAGTTAGCTTCCTGGCCATACCTTTTCCTAAACTTATGGTGGTCCTATCAACGATGGATCTGAACCCTGCCCTATCCAGCAGCCTGACCATCTCGGCTATACTTGGACCCATTGTTATAGTCACTGTGTCAATCCAAACCGTTGCGGACAGTTGCCTTCTTCACTGACCCTCCACCTTTCCAAGGATCATGTCCTTTCCCAAGGACTGGGCGAGCTCTATTCCAGGCCTGGCTCCAAACCTGGGCCCTGGGATCACACTCTGTGTGAGGGTGTGTGCCTATGCGAGCACGTATACGCGCACATGTGTTTACAGCTGCCGGGGCAGCACTGTCGGGAAGGAGGTGGCATTTTTCCCTCATTGTCTGTCACTGACAACATTTATACTGTGCCCTGTCCTTGCACTTGAGTGGCAGCATCCTCTGGTGGCGAAAGTTGGACATTGAGTCAAAAAAACCAGCAAGTGACTGCTGGGCTTCCCTGAGCCTCAGTGTACTTTATGAATTTACTGTGAAGATTGATGAGTTAGGATCTGATAATAAAGAGTCTCGGTGACACAAGGGCTAAAGGGCTTGGCTCCTAACCAGAAGTTTGGCGGTTCAAACCCACCCAGCTACTCCTTAGGAGAAAGATTTAGTAAATCTGTTCCCAGGATCACATCCCAATAGACGAAGTGGGACAGTTCAACCCTGCCACATGGTGTTGCTTCAAATAAAAAATATCAACTTGATGGGTCACAACAACAATGACATCTGGATAATGCTGGTGCTAATCTGACTGAGCTTCTCCGTGGAAGTAAAATGGACAATCTCCTCTCATGAAACTTAATGCCTCTGAAACCCTTTGAGAGGGTCAGCTATGAATCAGTTCTGACTCAACAATATACAAAAGTAATAGCCTGACCCGGGGGAACTCTGGTGGCTTAGTGGTAAGGAGTTGCGCTGCCAACTCAAAGGCACACAGTTCAAATCCACCAGTTGCTCCATAGGAGAAAGATGGGCAGTCTCTTCTTGTGTGATTTACAGCTTCTGAAAACCTGCTGGAGGATCAGCTTATAAGTTGAGTCTGACTTGACATTTGGTACACACAACGATCTGACCCAGAGTACAAATTCCATAAATGAAGTTGTAATTCACTGATTTGCCCACTTATCGATCTGTTGGGGGGAAGTAGGTTGCACCAACAAAGCTAGTCATTACTTCTGCAGGCTGTATCTGGAATAAAGCTGCTTTGCTTTCCAGAATTAAAAGCACAGCATTTTAAGGCTTAGCTCATCTCCTTTATTTTAGAAACAAGGAAACTAAGGCCCAAGTGGATCCCACAGAGAGTCAGAGCTGCGATCCACACCTGGTGAACCACTGCCCTGTATTAGGACAGAGTGCCCCCTCCCACTTCTCACTTATCTGCTGTCCTGGGACATTCATAGGCTTGTGCTCTGGATGACTGGAACTATTAGGGTCCTGGGTCTCCCCTGGAGCAGTGAGAACACAGGTATAGACAAGGTGAGGGAAATGAGGATGGTAGGAGGTTGGAATGGTCTGGAGAGGAAGAGAGAGGGCACTTCAGGGAGGAGGCACAAGCAAGGGTGAGGAGATGGGTGGGAGATGGGGTAGAATCTTAAAGCTATAACAGAGTGGTGAGTGTTGAAGCTACAGGCCCAGGTGTTAGCCTAGTGACTCAGCAGGGAAGGTTTCAGATTCACTATCTTAGTCTGTATTCTCTAGAAGAGCAAAACTGGTGAGGTGTGGCTATGTAAATATGGATACCCACTGAAACCAAAACCAACACCATGGGGTTAACTCTGACTCATAAGAGATTCTCTGTGGGGTTTCTGAGGCTGTAAATCTTTAGAGGAGGGGGACCACTTACCTTCCTCCTGAAGAGCAGGTGGTGAGTTCAAACCACTGACCTTTCTGTTAGCAGTACCTGTAAAGGCAAGACACCACCAGAGCTCCTTGTAAATAAATAAATACATACATACATACATATAGAAATAAATACACACACACACACACACACTATATATATAATTTTAAGGAAATAACTCGTGCAATTGTGGGGCCTGGCAAGTCCCAAATCCATGAGTCTGGTGTCAAGCTGGAGGTGTCACCTGGCACACCTGGTTGCAAGGGCTGGAAAATCCTGAAATCAGACAGCAGACTATTGGCTCCTGTCCCAGAAACTGGAGGTCAGAGGATGACAAATCAGATGCAGTATGAGAGAAGGCGAGCTTTTCCAGAACATCTATGTATAGGGTACAAGTCACAGCCCCAGTGAACCTCCCCTTTGAACTTAATAGCTGTTTATTTATATTAGATCACAAAATGAAGGATGATCTTATAACATCCACCAAAACCCCGAGAAGCATGGCAAGTCAAGATGACACTTAACTGTAAGCATCACACTAATCTTAGGGCAAATATTCCTTGAGCTGCTAATATGTGCTTAGAGAGGAGCAGAGAGGATTGACAGCATGGCCTAGTGACCCAGGAGAACCCCCACCTGGGCCTTGATCTGCTGGACTGCCTTGAACAATGTCGTGCCCCGTCCCTGGTCTTCCTCTGGTTTCTCCCCAGCAGGCCAGGTTCCTGCATGCACCCGGAGGAGATCCCTTGGTTGGAAGCTTTGCCACCCTCCTCATAGAGGCTGCTCCCAGCAGTGGGGAGGATTGTGCAAGGGCTGGGAGGGGAAGAGACTGGGCTGCAGAGGTGCTTAGACCCTGGGGCCACATTCTGTGTTTGGACAGCAGCCCTTGGACACCTTAGCTGCCATGTATCTGTTTTCTTTCCGCAGATGAGTGGTCCTGATACTGTTGGTGACGATGATGAAGCCGGCAGGAAAAGAAAGAGCAAAAGCCTGTATGTTAAAAAGAAAACACCTCTTAACCCTCAGCCTTTCAAGCAGAGATCCCCCTGCACCCTGCTGCTTTCTCTGCCCTTAGGCTTGTGTCTCTATCAGGGGTGTAAGCGGGGAGGAGGGGCTGTACCAATCCTGCCTGCAGCCCTGACAGACAGGATGACAGGATCGTGGGACTTAGCAGTGATCCCCAGGTCAGGCCACCATAGTACTGCGTATGCAGCACTGTCTTTGAGATCCACCCTGAGTGAGGGATGTGAACCATCTGTTGACCTCAGTCAGGTCGCCTTGGTTCTGGTCTAGACTCTGAGCCGAGCAATGGCGAATGGCCTTGGCAAGTCCTTTGCTCCCTCCCTACCTGCGACCTGACAAAGGGTTGAACTGACTTTGTGCAGGAATTCTCCTTTCTCCTCCAATCTTGAGGAAGCTCTGGTGGCTTAGTGGTAGTTGCCAACCTGAAGGCATTCTGTTCAAATCCACCAGCAGCTTGGCGGGAGGAAGGTGAGCAGTCTCCTCCAGCACAGTTTACCTCTGCAAACCCACTGGAGGCTCAGCCAGGAGTCCGTCCTGACTCCAGGGTACATTAACAGAAACCACACTGCCACCACCTCTAATCTTGAGGTCTTGCAAACTGACAGTCTCATTTACTGCCAGGAGGGGGCGCTGCTGGACCAGCTAGCGGCTCCTGGGCTCCCTTAGCCTTTCTGGCCGTGCTCTTCCCCTTTCCCTTTGGTATTGGGGAGTTGCTAATTAATGCGGGCACTAGTGGCCTCGAGGCCAGAAGCTGCATTGCAATCCCAAAGGCACGTGGTTTGAATCCACCAGCAGCTCCGCAGGAGAAGGATAGGCAATCTCCTACCGTGCCATTTACTACCTTTGAAAACACGTCAGTCAGCTGTGGGTCAGCTCCGAATCTATGGTCCGCAATAACAACAACATGTCCTCTGGCAGAGGCCCCAGAGACTTGTGACAAATATGAAGAAAGGGATAGTGGGGAATACTGTGTCTCCCAGAGGCAGCACTCTCCCCCAGTTCATGCCCTCAGCAGTTCTTTGCAGCAACTGCAGGCCGCTCACACTCTCTGGCCAGGAACAATTTGCACTTTCTAGGGAAGGCAAAAGGCAAACGCATAAATAAAAATAGTCCTTTGCACCAACTGTCCTCATTTAACTGTTTTGAGGACAGAAGAGGCTGCGTGCAAGGGCAGAGTTCCCAGGGTAGAAGAAGGCTCCCAGGAATGGAGCAGCGCGTGGCAGTGGAGGGCAGACATCCAAGGGCTGAGGGCCAGCCACATACAGGATGGACCAGACATACCCAGGACGGGACCGGGCACACACAGGAAGGGATGGGGCTGGGCACATGCAGGGTAGGGGCTGGGCACACGTGGTGAGGGGGACGTGCACACCACATGACGGACCAAGCATACATACGATGGGTGATCACACACAGGGCGGGGCCAGGCACACGCAGGACAGGGACATCAGCTCCAGCTTCCTTTCAGAGGGTGCTGAACTTTGAATTCTAGAAGCTTATAGTCTTAAATGCTGACTCTTAGATTCTGGGGTAAAGATAAAAATAACATTTATTGTGGCAGGCTTACATACATTATCTAATTTAATCCTTTCTATAATCCTATAGATTAGACATTATTATTATCCTTCTTTTATAAATGAGTAGACTGAGGCACAGAGCTGCTACATAGCTTGTCCAAGGTAACATAGCAAGTAAGCAGTTGGGGTCTGAAGCCTGGCAACCTGGCTCCAGGGCCAGTTATTTTAGATCTGGGTGCAAAGTCTACCTGAGGCGGGATCCTTTCCACAGACCCCTGCCAAGCGCCCTTGAGTGGCAAAACCCACTCCACCAGACGCCATTCATTCCATCTCTTGATGGCTCCTTTAGCTTCCTCATATGGCAATGTGTTCTGCCTTCTGGGCCCAGATGAAGACAGCTGGGACCCCTGTGCCCCTGTCATCCCTCTGAGGATTGCCTGTGGGAATCGGGGACATGCAAGGGCTTCTCGGTTGTCTTCTATATGCAGCTGTGTGCCCAGGCTGAAAGGCATGACCAGCAGGAGCCTCAGCCTCCTCCAAACAAACAAGGGGCCCAGGTGGATGGAGGCAGCCTTCAGATTGGAGTGGGTGTCCCCGGAGTGGGTGTCCCCGGGACTCCAGGAAGGCCCCTGCCCCTCCCTGGGCTTCCATGTTCTCACCAGAGGGCTTGAGGCAGGGTTCTAAGCACAGAGCACTGTGTGGGTGACTTAGAGCCGAGCCAGTCCTAATGCTGTACTCTTAGGCTCCCTCTCAGTGATGCCCATCACTACACAGCTGCCTGAGCCCCTCATGATGTCTCTGGGTCTCCTGTTAAGTTGATCTTTGAAGCACTTTGTGCCAGGTGCTGTGTGTTTTTCTCACCGAGTTCTTGTTACAGGTAGGCACTATAATCATCCCCTTGGTGCAGTCGTTAGGGATTTGGGCGGCTAACCACAAGGCTGAGCCTCTCTGCTGGTTGGAATCCACCAGGTGAAAGATGGTCAGCCTCCTCCCATGTCATGTCCAGCCGCAGGAATTCATTGGAGGGTCAGTGATGAGTCAGGCTGACTCCATGGCAATGAGTATTTACAGATAAGCAAACATGAGGTTCAGGGAGGTTAGTAACTGTTGGTGTAGAGATTTGAACCCCCAGCTGTCTGGCTGCAGAGCTTCAGCTCTTAACCTCCCCCTTTGTTGTGCTTCACTTGGTTTCACAGTGAGTCCTGAAAGTCTTCCCGCTGTTTTAACTTTAATAACTTCAGAAGCATATACACCACAAGCTTAACCCACTTAATTTCTCTCCATTTGTTTTGCACCACTTTAGTTTTGTGATCATGATTACCGATTTTGCATTTAAATTTCCCCTTTCTGTCAGCGTTTTCCAAGTTCAATCAGAAGGACAGAAGGGGATAAAAATTTAAAATATTTAAAAAAAAATTTTAAACATCCCCAAACAAGACATATGTTAGAGTTGTTGTTGTTGTTGTTATGGACCGTTGAGTTGGAACCAACTCGTAGCTGACCCTCCAGCAGGTTTTCTGAGGCAGTTAATCGTACTGGAGGAGATTGTCCATCCTTCTCCTGCAGAGTAGCTGGTGGCCCTGAACCGGTGTGCCTTCGGGATTGCAGTATTGCTTCTTGACAGAGTTGGAGATTTAAATAATTAAACTTTCAAATGGGGTTTCTGCAAGTCTGTGGCATATACATCTCTTAAATTATAAAGGCTTAAAACTGTCCTTGGACTTTGGAGACACTGCATATACCCAAAGCCAAAGACTAAACCACAGAGGTGAGTTGGGTGGGATGGGGAGGTGCCAGGGCTTAGAGGGGGAGAGTTAGAGGGGAAGAAATGAAGCATTTAACCCCTTTCTTTCCAGTAGCATCACTCAGCACTGAAATTGGCTGCCTCTGGAGGGAGTGGCCAAGCTAAAAATGGTTCTAGGTTAAAAATAGCCGGGCTGCCACCCTGGTGGGCTGGGCCTCCCCTTCTTCCCTCCCAGCAATTTGCTGACTAGTTCTCTCCTCCTATCCGCGCCGCCTCCATGGTAACCAGGAGGCTGGTCACAAATAACTGGGAGCTGGCTTCCTGCCGGCCTGTGTGTCCTGGAGGCCGCCCCATCGCAGACACATGCCCCTTTCACGGGTTCCTGCTCCTCTCGGGGTTGGCCAGTGGGGATATTTTTTTTCCGCTCCCTCTTCTGGTCCCTCCCATTTCCTGGCTCCTTGTGTCTGAGTCCCAGCTTGGCTGTGCCTAGAGCGCAGTTAGCAGCCAAGCCTCAGTGAGCAGGATCCCGGCGCGCGCTCTGGTGCTCCGCGCTGGTCTGTCTCATCACCACCGCCTGCCTGGGACAGCATAGGGCGCGAGCAGCAGCCTGAGGGTGTGCCCTGCGGACTTCTGGGGCCCTGAGGTTGGGGGGGAATCCTACGGAGATGCTTCGTGGCATGTACCTCACGCGCAACGGGAACCTTCAGAGGCGGCACACGATGAAGGAGTAGGTGCCCTGCGCCCCAGCCAACCGTTCCCAAGCTGCATTTGCACGGATCGAGTGTGCCAGACTGACCCCTCGCTTTCTGCTTCTGCCCCCAGAGCCAAGGACATGAAGAACAAACTGGGCATCTTCAGGAGGAGGAACGAGTCTCCCGGTGCTCAGCCTGCGGGCAAGACAGACAAAGTGATGAAGTCATTCAAGTAAGTGTGCCCTGGCACCTCGGGGATCCTTCAGGACCAGCAGGACGCTGAACAGTGGGATTGCAGGGCAGGGGCTTTGTTGGCGTGGGCCAGCCCGGGGCAGATGGAGGGGAGACAAGTCCCAAGAAAGCAGCAACTCTCGTAGAGAACAATTGCCTTGGGAACTGGGGGGCCAGAGAGGGGGAGCCTAAGTGTGCTGTCCTCTAGGAAGGGAATGGGCCAAAATATTGCCTGCTGGGGCCGACTTCCCCCTGTGGCTCCTCACTGGGTTCATTTGCTGCCTGGAACAAAGGGTACCCAAGCCCCAGCCTCACGCCAGTCCCCTGATTGTGCTCTTTGCTCACCCTCAGGCCCACCTCAGAGGAAGCCCTCAAGTGGGGTGAATCCTTGGAGAAGCTGCTGCTTCACAAATGTAAGTGGGGCTATTTGGCCTGTTTCCTCCTCTCCCCTCCTCTGCCTTACCTCTCTCTTTGCCCAGACCCCAAACAGTGCTTGTCCCTCTTTCTTGGGTCTAGTCATGTGTCCCTGCAGGTGAGGGGGACAGGGCCTGCAGAGGCCCTTGGCCTGGCCTTAGAGCTGGCCCCTGCCAGCTCCTCCCTGTCCACGGGAACTGGCATCGCTTGCTAGAGGCCGTTGGGACCTGTGTGCTCAGACCCAGGTTCCCAGAATAACAGTAAACATTGCTATGTACTGAGGACTGAAACTGGACCAAATGACCCAGCCTTCCCATGGACAGGATCCCAGCTGATCTTAGAGTTCCAAGAGAGGGGGCTTGTGGCGCTCATTTAAAAAGTTTTTAAAACTGGGGTGAAACCATCCCAAAGTCCAGCTACAAAGAGGCGATCACAGGGCTGGAACGAACTTTAAGACTCCTAGGGTATAAACTGCGGGGTGTGGAAGTGGGGGGTCCTAGGAGCAGGAAGGACCCTTCCTGGGGGAGGGAAGGGCTGACTCTCCCTCTCACCGTGGCATCTGGGTTTCTCTTCCCAGACGGTCTAGCAGTTTTCCAGGCCTTCCTTCGCACTGAGTTTAGTGAAGAGAATCTGGAGTTCTGGCTGGCGTGTGAGGACTTCAAGAAAGTCAAGTCACAGTCCAAGATGGCAGCCAAAGCCAAGAAGATCTTTGCTGAATACATCGCGATCCAGGCATGCAAGGAGGTAGGCCCTCAGACTAGGCTCTCACTTTCTTCCTGCCCCACTGTCCAGTGGTCCTTCAGTGGGAGGGGAAGCTGGCAGCCTCAAGAAAGCAGTCAGGCTCAGGAAGGGAAGAAGCCAGCCTGCCTCCCGGAGGCTGTATGCTCAGCGTAGAAAGGACACTAACTGGGGTCAAGCAAGAACAGAATCCCAGTAGTAATGAGAATTGCCACCACATCTGGGGCCTGCTGTATGCCACACATGTGCTTAACCCATTATGTGTATATCCTCATACTTAATTCTTACAAGTAAACAACTTTTAATAGTGTCTTCATTTTAAAAATGAGATGGTTTTAGAGAGCATTATCATAGCAGCTAATGTCTAGTTAATGCTTGCTGTGTACCAAGCACTTTGAGCAGAAGGCTTCCTATGAGTGATCTTGTTTCATTTTCATAACTGTACTGTGCACAGTTATTCCTAGCCTGCAGAAAAGAAACCTGAGGCTTAGAGCATACAAGTGATTTGCTTAAGGTCACACACGGAGACATTGCTGGGATTTGAACCCAAGCCTCCTGAACCTAGAGGTTGTGTTTTCAGGTCCTATAAGCTCTCCCATCCCTGTGTTATTGTTGTGTACTGGGAGTCAGAACTGACTCTTAGCTGACCCTCCAGAGGGTTTTCAGAGGCAGAATATAGCATGAGAGGAGACTGTTCTGCTTTCTGCCTTGGAGTAGCTGGTGGATTTGAATTGTGTGCCTTTTGGGTCAGCAATGCCACTCTTTACCACTAAGTTACCACTCCTGCTCCCACCGCCCCTATAGTAAGTGACTAACCCCGGATGTGAATCTGCTGACCTAAGGGCCTCCTCTCAAGTGAGGAGCAGAGGGAGCTTAGAGGCAAGAAGCTGGATTGGTTTGACTGCCAGCACTTGTCCCGACTATCAGCGCCTTCCAGCAGCCCTGACCTTGGTGTCCTCTGCCCCTGCAGGTGAACCTGGACTCATATACAAGGGAACACACCAAGGACAACCTGCAGAGCGTCACGCGGGGCTGCTTCGACCTGGCGCAGAAGCGCATCTTCGGGCTTATGGAAAAGGACTCTTACCCTCGCTTCCTCCGCTCTGACCTCTATTTGGACCTCATTAACCAGAAGAAGATGAGTCCCCCACTTTAGGGGCCACCAAGGCAGAGCTCAGCGTTCATACTAGGTGGGCTGGGCCCCTCTTCCCACAGCCTCCCTCCCCTACTGCTACGGAGGGGGCAAGAAGGCCCCTGGAGGCTTCGTCTCTGGACAGACGGATGGACGGACATTTGGGTGCAAGGCCTGGACCACAAGAGGCCCAGACCACTGGAGGAGGAGAAGGGCTGGCCCCGTTGGGTCCCCCTTGCCCCGGTACGAGGGGGCCCAAGGGCCCTGGCAGGTCAGGGACCCAGCTGAGCCAGATCCAGAGCTACCACTCCTGCTGCGGAGACTTCGAGTTGACCAAGTTCCTTAAAGAACTGGCTGGCGGGGCAGGGGGCCCAGGCCTGGGCTCCAAAGCCCTTCTGGGGGGCTTGCAGCTCAGACCCCCTCCTTGCGTTTTATTTATTTAAACAGTAGTTGGATGCTTGGCACGTTGTCCTGTAATAGGAAACCCTTGCCTCATCAGTTTTCCTAATTTACAAGTGCAATATTTTAACCGCCTTGTGAAAAAGCCACCTTGCAGAAAAGGCAGGCACCAATTTCCAGCTTCAGGGATTTTGCTGGTCCAGGGCGAGCAGCTGGGCCTTCTGGACTGAGGAGGGCTGTCGGGGCTCTGCAGTCTGACCTCACACAGAATCCTACACCCCTGCATGGGGTGGGGGCGAGTCCCTGGGCACCTCCGGGAAAGCATGGCACTCTCAGACTACACAGCAGCCAAGTTCTGGAGCAAATAAAAGGCCTGTGTTATTTCTCATTCTTGAGACCCTTTCTGTGTATCCTGCTTTTGAACCTTCCAGGGTGACAAGGCTGGGAGGGTTAGGAGTTGGGGTGTCAGTTCACTGCCTTTCGCCCTGCCTAGCTCTACCTCTGCTCCTGGAACTTTATGCAGCAGTGAGCACTGTTCCTGGTAATTGCGGCCACTGTGCCACATTCATTGTGGCTTCTTCACTCCAAGCTGGCAAGGCAGGTGTTAAGTCCATTTTACAGATGGAGAGAATGAGGTACAGGTAAGACAGATGACTTAGCCATGGCCACACAGCTATATAGCGGCAGGGACAAGTTCAGCCTAAACCCCTAAACCTGACTGGCTGAAAGCCTGTACCCCAGGCTGCTGCCTTCTACAGGCTACAGGACAGAGCTCTGTGACCATCAGCAAGTCCCTTCACTTCTGTGACCAGCCACACCCTGAGATTACAGAGGAACCTCCAAAATCTCAGTGGGCATCTGCAGATGGGCAGATTCACGAATCCCTGCAGGACAGGAGGGACAGAGAGCTAGAGAGTTGACAGAAGATAGGCATTAAAGGCGTCTCAGTGACACTGGAGAAGCTTCCCTCTGTGCCTTTGTTTGCTGTCCTGCCCAACGGGATATGAGATGTGAGTTTAGGAAAGGCTTGATCTGAAGTCTTACTGTGGGGAGGCCCACTCCAATTCACTTGACTAGAAGGGAGTGATGATGGGACCTAGAACCAAGCCATGCTGATGCTGAAACTGACACCTCCCCCCTACACACACACACACACACACACACACACCCCTCTTCCCAGGCCCTGGTGCAGAGACAAGGCATTGCCTACGATGGGGCCTGGCTCACCTGGGCTAACTTAGGTGAAACTGGACAGAGCTGGTGCAGGAAAGGCTGGATCTTGTTCCCTGCCTGGGGTCATGGGTTCAAGTCGGCCCCCTGGGACCTTGGAGCGGTGAGGACTGTGCAGCTGGCCTCCCTGCACAGTGAGGTCAGGCGTCTCTGGAGGCTGTCAGAGAGGTCTGGAAGTGGGCTTTCCATTTGGCTGTAAGGACTTGATGGGAAGCAAGTCTTTACTCTTGTTCCCATTTGCAGATGGGGCAGGGTGGGGGCTGCTTACTCAAGAGAGAGGGGAGCTGACTGACCCTCTGGCTCCATCTACTACTCACTATTAGGACTGCACTCCTGTGTTAGCAGTAGATAGCCCCTTTCTCTGCTGCCAGGAAGCCAAGTCCCTCCTTGCCAGCCCCTATCAAAAGGCATCCGAGTGAGATGTGAGCTTGTCTGTCTCCAAAGACTGCTTGCTGGGGTTTGCATTCAGGGCTAACTCAGGATTAAACCCTGCCTCTGCTGCTGACTTTCTCTTCAACCTTGGCAAGTCGCTGCCTCTCTCTGAGCCTGCAGAAATGGGGAGCACACCTCTGCCATCTCAGTGCTGTCATAAAGGTTCACAAGCTGATCTGTAGGAAGAGACTAGCATGGAAGAAAGCCTACAGCAGGTGCTGAATTCACATTGGCAGCCTTTCCCTCACACCAAAATATGAGCTCCTCCAGGAGTGAGGCTGGGCCTCATCCCACCAGGCGCTCAGGGATAACGCTGGGCCCAGCTGGCAGGTTTGGTGTGGCTTTGTAAACTATGAAGGGCTTTCACACCTCGGAGCATCCAGACCCTCAAGACTGGAAAGGCAAGGGGAGCAGAGCTACAGTCCAACTTCTGAGCAAGAGCACCATGCAGGTCCTAGATTTGAGGACCTGATAACTGAGAAAACTGAGGCCCAGAGAGGATGGCAATACCATTCCCCATCACCCTCAAATGGGTAAAGCCAGTGTAAAAGCCTAGCTTCTAAGTCTTGCCCTAACTGGGCCTCCCTTCTGTCTTTCCCTATGAGGAGCCAGTGGGCTCTGAAGGAGCCTCATCTTCCCTTCTGTTGGCTTCTGGAGAAAGCCAGGCTTGCCACCTTCCTGTTCCCAAGTCACCATGGAAACCAGAGTCCAGGAGCACAAAGTCAGGCAAATGGAATTCCCATTCAGAGCGCCTGGTTTCCATTACTCACACCCTGGTTCCCTTGGCCTCAAAGCAGCTTTGGCTGCGCAGAGCAGCTGGACAGGAGACTGGAAAGATGCCTGAGTTCTGCTCTGGGCCCCATCTGGGTTCCTGGGGAAACTCAGGATGTCCCTCATCCCCTGGTCCTTTGACAGCTCATGTGGACTGTATTGCTTAGACTACCTGTACCCCTTTTCACATGTGAGGTGAGGAAGACGCAGGCTCCTCTGTCTCATTTTGGTAATTCCAGGCTGGTCAAGATGAGGTCTCAGAGCTGTGAGATTTATTATGATCCGTCCTCCCCCCCCCCCCCGCCCCCCGCATTTCACAGATGGGAAGACTGAGGCTTTTTGTGGAGGGAGAGGAAGCTGCACAATGTAGAAATGAAATGCCCTGGAGTTGGGCTATTAGGGTTGAGTCTCTGACTTTGCACCATTTACCAGCTGCATCTTTGGATGAGTTATGTAGTCTCGCTTTACCTTCATTTTTTCATCTGTAAATTATGCCTACCGGCACCTATGCCAGAGCAGCAATGGCCAAGTGAGGTCAAACATGTAACAAGCTTAATCCAGTGCCTGGCACGGGGCATGTGCTCCCTATATGGCAGCTGCTATTGGTAACATCGTTCTTCAGGGTCACAGGGTATGTGGCAAAGGCCATTTTCCAATTACTCAAGCCAGAGCCGTACCCTAGGGAACCTTTAAACTCAGACCATAGCTCCTTGCCATTCCAAGAATTATTTTGCGGGAGGACAAAGATTGTTCTGGGGAGTAAGTCAGAAACAGCCTGTCCCAGTGCCGCTGCCCAGTTTTGGCTGGGCTGGGAGCAGTTGGGGTCTGTGGGCAAATAAGGTGTGGAAGAGAGGAAAGGGCAGAGGACACAGAAGTACAACTCAGCTAGATGCCCGAGGGAGGGGCAGTCAGCATCAGCACCAGCTTCCACCATCACCGTCCCCCTGGCTGGCAAGTCAAGTCCCTCTCACCGCTGCCGGTCAACGGTGGGGTCTGGCTGCCTTGGGGCAGATATGGAAGTCCTCCACCCTCTCCAACCTTTACTTCAAACTGCTATGCAAAGCTGGAGTCCCTTCTTGAATTTCTGCTTGCATCCCCTCCAGTAGCAGGAAGCTCAGGAGGGCCTGAGATCTCCTGAGTGATTCTCTACATCTTTCCATTTGCAGTTAGCCCCCTGTGGCTGAAGTAGGGAGATGGGTTGCCCCTGCAGGTCTGTCCAAGTTAACCACCTCAGTCACCGGTCACTGTCAACTCTGATTCTACTCCTCTCTGCTCCCCGAAGCCTCACCAAACCCTTCAGAGCTCCCCATTCCTACTTTCCAGTCCTCTTACCTCCTGTAAACTTCCTGAATGCTTCCCATGGAGATCCTACTCAGAAACCAGATCTATCTTTTCTCTTCCCAAATTTTGGGTCCCTTCCTTCCAGGCCAGGCTCCTCTTGCATCCCTGAACTCCCCTAGCACAGTCGACTCCCAAGAGATATCATAAGATGTTGTTTTGCTTAAAATGAACATCTGCAGAACATCTGGTCTTGGCCATCCTATCCTGCTGTCCAGGCCAGGAGGAAGGAAGGGGGTACCCTAGGCCCACTGCCACTGGGGTGCTATTTCCTCCATGGAAAGAAACAATGAGGGGGGAATGTAGACAGCTTGAGGCTGGCCTGGGTCTGCTCCATAACGATGAGATCAGGGCTTGGCCAGGGCTCGGAGAGGGGAGGGACCAGCCGTAGACGAAGAACCACAGCCACACAATGGCACCTGCCAAGTGTGTTTGTCACGTGTCTTATGTCCCTCAGTCCTCACAGAGCCTGCGGAAAAAGGTCTGACTGTGATTCCTGTTTTACAAAGAAGAAAATTGTTTCAGAAAAAAAAATGGGCATGAATATCATCAATCTGAGCAGGGCCTGAGAGCCCCAGCTCCTAACTTCTTTACAGGCTCTGTTAAACAGCCTGTGAGTGGGGCTTTTCAAGCTCGGTCTCCTTGGTGTGAGAGCTAAGATAAGCTAGGAAGGCCACATAGCGTGAGCTTACATGTATATGTGGAGAACGCTGGTCCTTGAATCTCAGGACTCAAATGCACTGTGTAGCTGCCTTGGCTCTCTGAGCATCACTTGTCTTATCTATCAAATGGGAATACGGGAATGTGTGAACCCAGCTCCCAGCCAGGCACAGCGAGAGCTCGCACTGCAGGACCAGGGCTGAGGCCTGCTTATCTTCTGGCAGCTGGTCACAGTTTTCTCTGGAGGTCAGACCCAACTCCAAGCAGCTGCACAGGAGGAAGCAGCCCCCGCATGTGCTGTGTGGCCAGTTTCTAATCACTGACCAGTAACTCAAAGGTAGGGCCCCCAAAGGGGGGTTTAGGACCCACATAGGCTTGGTAGATTCTTACCTACCTACTTCAGGAGAGTTGAGCAGCGCTTACATTGTCTGGCCTGAGAGACAAGGGTTTTGAGTTCTGCATCCAGATTTGTCCCAAATCCTCTGTTTGACCAAGGCTCCTCCCACCTTAATCCTTTATTTCTTCTGAAAAACAAATACTAAAGCTCTTCCTCCCTCTGAAGGCCTTCTGAAAGGACAGATAGGGTTCTGTGTGGTGTTAGGAGCAACGATTCATAGAGTGTGTCTCTGTGTGTGGTGTGGGTATGTACTCATGTGTCTGTGTGCACATTTAGATGTGTGTGTGAATATTGTGCATGGATGTATGATGTGTAAGCATGTTTACACAAATGTATGCTTGTGTGTGTGAGTGATTAGGATTCCAAAGACAGTTTATAGCCACTTCCCTAGGACTATGGGGCCCATATGGCTGGGGCAGTGTGTTTACCACTGGTTTGAGTCTCCATGGGTTCACACTCCTTGGGGCACTGCCCTCTGTGTCATCTAGCCAAGGTGCCTGAGGACAAATTTTCCGCTATTTATAAATTACTCCCTTGAGGTAAAGCCCATAGCCCCCACCCTCCCAGAATAAAC